TGCGTTTTCAAGTGTTACAGCTCAGCCACCAGTTTCAAAGCAGCAGTAGTTTTCTTTAAAGCCTTAGAATAATTATCGGAGTTATGGAATAAGATAGACTGCAGTTTACCTATGCCCTTTTCTTTCTAGCCGTTCCGAATCTCGGGACGAGATTCTTTGTAAGGGGGGTAGATTTATCACATCCTGATTTTTGTTTCAGGATTTATAAATTATTTAATAAATTATTATTAGAAGTTATATTAAATGTTCATTAACTTACAAGTGAAGTTAAATGTGGGAAATAAAATTTCCTTAATATAAAGCATGGATGGATTTAATTTTTATTAAATTCTCCATGATTAAGTCAACTCTTTGAAATTTTCTCGGATTTTTCGGAGCTCAATTCCTAAATGATACAAACAACAGTTCAGTAATTATTTGATCATTAATGATCTAATTATATTTGTTAAGAGTTTTTCTTGTTTAAAATCCTTAAATTATAAATTGTTGTTTAAAAGGAATTATTAGAAATGATTTTAAAAGCCTAGAAGAGAAGATCTAATTTTAATTTGTTAAATCTCAATATAAAATTGGGCTAGATAAAATTTTGTTAAATACTTTGCTTAATTCTATAATTCCTAGATTTTTCTAGGATTTATTTGAGCTAAGGAAGTATTTTTAATAAATGGAATTGCATTTCATGAATAATTTAAATTGAAAAAGGTTTTTAAAAGTCTGTTTTGGCTTTGGGCCGAAAGCCGGCCCAAAACCTCTCTCTTCCTCTCTCCCTCCCCGGCCCAGTCGGCCCAGTCAACCCGCGCTCCTTCCTTTTCTCTCTCAGTCGCTGACAGGCGGGCCCCACCTGTCAGGGTCGTCGTTCTCCTCGCGCCGCCGCCGCCGCCCGAAACCCTAGTTTCGCGCCGCAGCCGTTCCTTTCCAAATCCGGCGTTCCTTTCCGTTTCCGGTGAAATTGATTGAGGGGAAACAATCTTTGGGATCTCCTCTACCTTTTCTCCTTTGGAAACATCGGCTAAATCGGTTTGGAATGTGTTTGATTCGAGTTCGAATCGGATCGGTCTCTTTCCTTCAAACCCCGATCTTTCCTTCTCGTCGCCGGCCGCCGTGGGCCTTCGCCGTCGCCTCCGAGCCCCTTTAAAAGGTTCCCCAAGCTCTTCTCTACCTGCCGCCACCCTCGCCTTCGCCTCTCATCGTCCGTAGTGCCCTAGCGCCATGTAGCTTCGCGCCGCCGTCGCCGCCGTCGCTCCAGCCGTGCGCCGCCGCCGTTCCGGTCGTCGTTGTCGCTCGGGAAGGCCACCGTCGGGATCGCCAAGTCGTCGCCGTCCTCGTCCGCCGCTTCGCCATCGCCGAAGATCGCCGGAGCACCATCGCCGCCGTCGACCCGATCTCCGCCGCCGTTTCAACCTCGTCGCCGTCGCCGTCCGTTGCTCCTCCGCCGCTCCTTTGGTCACCGGTGAGTTCGCCGCGTCGCCCTCTACCCGTTGGTGCTCTCCGTTCGTGCCGAAGCGCCGCCGTTCGCCAGCGAGCGTGCGCCGTCCGAGCCGCCGAGCCGCCGCCGCCGGTGGTGACGTCATCGCCGACGTCATCGTCGCCCTCTCCCGTGAGCCGGTCGTGGACCGATCGATCTCGGCCGTCCGTTTTGGATGGATCGATCTCGGCCGTCCGTTCCCGTGAACCGTTGCTATGCACCCGGTTCACTGCGAAACCCTAGCCGCTGACACAATAAATAACCTTTTCCTTTTCAAAAATAATTCATTATTGCGTCATAATTCAATTAAAATCAATATAAGTGTTTTAATCCGATTTAATCTTTAAAATTTCATAACTAATTCATTTGAACTCAGTTTAATGTGGTTCAAGTTGCAAAAATTATATAAAATAAAGATCTACATATTAAAATTATCCATAAATTGAATTTAATTTATTTAATTCTTTATAAATGGGCTTTAATTAGATTTAATCTTGTAAAATTCATAATAAATTCATTTGAAGTCAGAATGAGGCCGTTCAAGTCTCATAATTCATCTAAAATTATGATCTACATGTTTGTTTACTTTTTATGTATTGTTTATTTGGTTTTTATTAGTCTTTTTCCTCGTTTTGCGTGTTAGCTTGTCGTTTCCGTCGTTGCGAAGGTTCGCAAGTGCGTCGGAAGTATTCAAGAAGATTAATTGAAGACCGATTATTGCAAGGCAAGTCACACAGATCCCAAACAACCCTTTGAGCATGTTGATCCTATTTAAAGCTATTGTTTCTATTCAACTATTGCATCTATTTTCGAATGTCATTGGGTGGAATTAACCTATTCTTTGTTATGGCCCTTTTGTACTTGATTACTTTATTCCTTGATACCTTGGGTGATTATAACTTGACTAGTTGGGCTATATATATATTGGTTCAACTAGATATTAGATATAATTGCTTAGCCATGCTTAGAAACATTAGCACACTATTGGGATAACTTATTATTCACTATTATTTAATGGTGGCTTAATGATAGTTCACGATGGTCAATCGTGATTGGTTAATTAATTACTTGCCAACTAAAACTTGATAATGGTGGGTTGTGAGCACATGGTTTTGAGAGTCGTGCTCATGACAATTAAGGACCGGTTCGCGAGCTACTATTGTGAAACATTAACCGTGCCAACCACAAGCCAGCGTGGGCAACGGCTTTACCTTTCGTATAGCATGGTTCATTGCAGAGCACCAGACTGAGAAGTGGCGGAGATAAGCCCACGGGAGTCGCTGGGGAGTCCATGCCTCTGGTTTTTGAGGGGGGTGATTATGATCCAGGAATGGTGCACTGTGGTGGATTGTGTTGTGCGAGGGGTAATGTCACAGCTCCTTTCCGAGGTACCGTGGTGGTACTGAGGCACATGGTGACATGATGTGGGGCTGTGTCTTGTGGGTACAGTGGTACACCTCTGGCCAGAGTAAAACTATTCGAATAGCCGTGCCCGCGGTTATGGGCGGGTTGAGCAATGTTTTTCGTGATTAGTCTCACACCTCTCACAATAATTATGGATGTTATACCTGGTAATAATTTGCTTAGCTCCTGGTTTGGAGTTAGATCTGTACAGCCGGGTATGGTTGTTCAGGATGGTTGGGCCTGTGCAGCATGGGTGTGCTGTTCAGTGTTGATTAAAATTTCTGATTAATCACTCCACTGTTTTTACTTCTCTTAAAAGTTTTGCTAAATGCTGCTTTTGCAAATGAACCTATATTATGCCATCCTTTGGTATCTTTGTGCACTTGCATATTTGCTGTGTGGCTTGCTGAGTATGTCATATGCTCACCTTGCAATAATCAATCAACCTCAGTTGAAGAATAAGGATCCAGAAGGAGAAGACGTTTGGCTTATACTCCAGTTGAGCTGCCTGTGGGAGTGGAGCCGGAGCTTCGCTAGATTTTATTTTCCGCTGCAGTTTTCTTCATGGTGAGGACTAAGTGCCTCTTAAGTAAGTACTTATCGTTTTAGTTAATTTGATGAATCTGTATATTAAATTGTCAGTTTGTGTACCTCGGCTGATTCCTGGACGAGGATTTTATGCACAAATAAGTTCGGAAATTACTAGTGAATTTCCGGGCGTGACACCTTTTTAGGCTGCAAAGGCTGTTTGGGTTTTATTGAGATGACTGGTTTTAATACAGTCATTTACTCGGCATGTTATATGCTTATTTTGATTATGGCGTGAGTCATAGCCTAGGCTATTTAGACTCATCACCTGTTATGTTATCACATTTATACCACGTTTGATGGATCTTTTTAAGAGTTTTTACTCGGATTCTTATCATATGTGTGGATTTATAGATCTTTAGAGTGTTTCTCACTCAGGCCTCTTCATATCTCCATTTTTGATATATTAAAGCTAAAGCATTCGGCTGGATGCTTTATTGAACGCCGCATATTCTTTGCTGTATGATATTCGGTTATAAAACCACTCGGTTGGATGTTGTTTGCATCTTGACTATATGTTTAGTTTTTTAACTAATCACATAGTCGGGGGCTACACCTAATTAGGTGCATCTAGTCGATGCACCTGGTTTTTTCTATTTTCAGACCTTCACAGTCTTTGATTTTGGTACTCGGGAGATCAGGGGAGAAGAAGTCGGAGTACTTGGATTATCGTTTTGGATCATGAGAGAAGACTATTTCGTTGACTGTAAAGGTCTTAGGGGCTACTGTGGAGATTATGGATACCCCATACCTACACGGCATGTATAGTCCGACTGGGTATGGGGTGCCATGTATAGATAGAATATCTTTAAAATGACTCGGGTTAAATTCTAAACTTGTATGTCAAGGTAATACCTGAGATCCTAGTCGGTTACGATTGTATTTTATTTGTAACTACCTATTCCGTTAGGGATATGGACTGTATTTTGTAATACGGACCTCTTCTTTTATATAAGGAAGGGTCCGGGTGTCTCTAGGGGCACGTTTTTTTACCCAGATCATACGATCAATAATATACTCGGCGGATCAATCTCCGGACAGGAGTAGGGTATTACTTCTTGATTAAGAAGGCCTGAACTTGTATAAAATTCCTTGTCTCTTAACCCATCCACTTTTTCAGCTTGATAGCCACCCCTTTTAGTATTGCCGAAATCTTGTTTCGACATGAATTATGAGAAGTGGGATTAAAAAATTGAAATGGATGCAGATATGATTTCCTAACCTATTTGGCGAACATATTCTAAGCTGCTCCCTTGACACTATCATTTTAACAGAAAACAAAATACACAATCTTATTTGACATCTATTGTCCTTTTGGGTCATGAGAAATAAGGAATTTGCCTGCCAATTGGCCCAATGTGGTGGGCTGGTTTCACACATTAGGTGGTGTTTGCAACCCATGAATATGAGGATTAAGTAAGGGCATGCAAAATAAGTATAAGCCATTAGCGCAAAATTAATTCAGTTTTAATTATTATACACTTAAAAAATAGAATTATTTGATATTTTGGAGTAACTAGACAACTAGAAGCAAAAGCAAAACTAGAAAACTAAACGAAAAATCTTAAAACTCAAACAACAAACAGATTGACAAACAAAAGAGAATATATGAATCCAACATGATCCAAGTTGCCACTCACTCTAGCCCCCCTTTCAGCTTGAACGGGGGCAGGTTCTCACCAACGGCTAGCTACGTACGCCCACGACACGAGCCACTACTCTCCAAGTCTCCCATCAACAAAAATGTGGTGTTCTTTTTCTTACAAATTCCGCTTTGTGCAACAATGTATGCAATGCTATATAAATCTCTCACCCTTCATCACCACCGCTGCGTGTGCAGCAAGTACACGAGGAGACAGGACAGAGCAAGCCGGGGAAGGAATGGCGCGGCGGCGAGGCGGGATCGGGCGGCGGCGCCAGAGTCGTCGCTGGAGCCGAGGTCCGGGGGGCTCAGGCCACCGCCGTCGGCGGCCGGCGGTGATGGTATGCCGCCGGTTGATCCTGACTGCCCTGCAGTGCTGCACAGAAAAAAAAAACAGAGATCTCACCTTGATCAGCAGACTGACTATTTCTTTTTGTTATATTCAACTGTCTTACGGTTTAGTCATCAGTAACGTAATTTCTGTTGATCTGCTTTGTAATGCGATTGAGCAACATTACAGGTTTGAATGTTACGATTTCTGGTGAATCCAAAGCACAGTAGAATAATAAAAACTTATTTATATGTGTGTCGTGTCGGTCGATTAAGGGCTAAAATGCACATGTTTTTTTTTCAGAAAAATAAATGCAGTTTATTTTTCTCAAAACATCGATTAATAAATAAAATGCACGGCTACACAAAGTGAATCCATTTCTAATACAATTTCGTAAAATACTTTTCCATTTTACAAAAGATAGGCAAAAATACATTTAAAAATGAACAGAGGTTCTTTTCTAGAAAAGAACTACAGCTTCATACTAAACTTCCTTTGTAATGTTGTAGTAGTTTGCAGAGTTCACACAACTGTTTGCGAATAAACATCAAATTTGATTGTGAATACTTGGTGTTTCAATCAGAAATCTATTTTGTGGTGTCCCCCCTTCGCTTTTGAGTATACATGGATTGATCAATAGTCAATCCCTTGGACAATATTCCTCGAGTTACTCAAAACAAGAATTCTAACTCAGGTTAAACCATGTTGTCTGGCTGTAGTGTGTATCCTAACAAGCTAACCTCACTAACATCTATCTATCTATTATATTATTAAAACACCCTTGAAAGAAGGCACCACGTTCGCTGTGGGGGCTAGAAATTTCTACATTAATCGGAGAAAAAGAAAAAAAAAAGAAAAGAAGAGTCCAAGTAGAAATATAATTTAAAAATAGCTAAAATTCAGAATTAAAAGTAAGCAATATTGAAAGAAATTTTCATATAGGAACCCAATACAACATTAATCAAAATTCGAAATAAAAATGAAATAAAATCCGTAGCAAAAAGAAAGAGTCTAAGTAGGAATACAATTTAAAAATAGCTGAAATTCGGAAAAATAATAAGTATTGAAAGAAGAGTCCATATAGGAACCTAATACGAGATTAATTAAAATTCGGAATAAAAATAAAATAAAATCTGAAATTAGCAAAAAAAAAAGAAAAGAAAAGTCCAAGTAGGAATACAATTTAAAAATAACTGAAATTCGGAATTAAAAATAAGGAATATTGGAAGAAGGGTCCATATTAATTAAAATTCGGAATAAAAATAAAGAAAATCAAAATTAGAAAAAAGAGACGAAAAGATGAGTTCAAGTAGGAATATAATTTAAAATTAACTAAAATTTAGAATTAAATATAAACAATATTGAAATAAGAGTACATATAAGAACCCAATAGTAGATTAACTAAAATTCGGAATAAAAAATAAAATATAATCTGAAATTAGGCAAATAAAAAGAGAGTTAAAGTAGGAATACAATTTTAAAACAACTAAACTGAAAATAAAAATAAAAATATCAAAGAACACAATACGAAAAATAATATAAATTCTGAAATGAGAAAAAGAAAAATAAGATATCAACTAGGAATACAATTTATAAATAACTAAATTTGGTGATAAAAAATAAAGATTACTAAAAGAAAAAACCATATGAAACAAATGACGAGATTAATTAAGTAACAGGTCTATAGAGGAGCAGAGTGGTGGCGGTTGATGGGACATCTAAAAACTATTAATAAAACACCAAATACAATCGTAATGACGATTAAAAGGAATTACAACAGACAGGTCGTGAAGCAATCGGTCGAGGCGGGTGGCGCGACTTCTAGAAAGTAAAAAAAAAACCAATGAGAGTCATATTTGATTTTTAAAATCTCAATAATAATAAAAATAAGAGGCAGCGGCGGGTTGTATAGGAGTACAATGGCAAAGTCGCCAATGGTTGGTGGGTCTTCTAGAAAGTAAAAAAAAAAGAATTCCAATGATAGTTATGTTCGACTTTTAGAATCCTAATAACAATAAAGAGTATGTGGCGGACGGGTCATATAGGAGTATGGTGGCAGCGTTTGACGGGATTTCTAAAAATTATAAAAAGATAAAACCCAACAAGATAATAAACTTAAAAACTATAAGGTCCAATTTTTAAAGGTTAGGGCTTCTAAAAAAATAAAAAAAAACCCCAATGATAATCCTGTTTGATTTTAAAATCTCAACGACAATAAAGAAGGGCGGCAGCAGGTGAGCCGTAGAGGAGTACAGTGACAAAGTTGCTGACGTTTTGCCGAAACTTCTAGAAAGTAAAAAAAATGAACCTAAACGATAATTATGTTCAATTTTTAAAATAGCAATGACAATAAATAGAAGATGCAGTGGACGGTCGTAGATGAGTATAATGGCAGTGTTCGACGGGACTTCTAGAAATTATAAAAAAGATGCCGAACAGGATAATAAACTCTAAACCTATAAGTTTTTCGATCCAATTTTTAAAGGTTCCAAGGAGAATAAATAGAAACTAGTGGTAGATCAAGCAAGCAAATAAAGAATAATATGACAGAAGTAAGGGGTAGCAACCGTTGTGACTTTTAAAAACTAAAAAAAATAGAAACACGAGGATAATAAGGTTTAGTCTTTAAAAATTTTAAGACAATGAGATAACTATTTAATAAATTTGAAGTAAAATTATATTAAAAATATATAATTTTATATGGGTGCTAGCCGCGCAATTGTGCGGGCCACCCAACTAGTTATATACTAAACCAAAAAATAAACCATCATTACGATTTTTTCTGTACAAACACTGACAATGTGTATTAGGCTGTGTCCTTGGAAAACCAGAAATTTTCTGTAAGGAGAGCACTGTAATGAAACTTTTTTCTTGGATCTGACTTGGTTCACTTTAAGGACTTAATGCATTTACAAAAGGTGTTTACTTTCAAATCCCATTAGTTACACCAACTGGCATTATTATTTTGATGTACAGGTCTAATTCATGCAATTAAGTGAGCACTGTCCATTGTGGTGGGAGTTAAGAATAGCTGTGAAGTGAAATAACTGAATATCAGAGAGCTCTAAAAGCTAGTATCTATACAACTCAGACACTCTGTATGCTGCTGCGCTTTTACTCAATTTTATCTTCTAAAAGACTATTTTGCTTGGTTATATGAGATGTGATTTCTAGATGAACGTTCAGCAGATGTACTCCATATGGAGCAGATCAATAAACTGATAATATGTGATGCGTGTACCTTGGTGATGCTGGGTAGGTGCATGATCCATAGCCTGAAATACAGGAACAAGCAGAGTAAGTACACACAGTTCACCTCGCAAAAAAAAAAAAAAAAACAGAGAGAAGTACACACAGAGTTAAAATAGTATGCACCTTGAGAGATCTCAAGAAGATAACAAGAAAGCATGGATGATTGGATGCACACAGTAGATGTAATATAAAGCAACCTCAATGCACTAAGAAAACTAAAAGAGAAACAAAAAGGAAAAACTAAGGACATGTCTATATCAGAAGAAAGGGAACTTAGATATGAGAATTTCAAGACCTATTTCCGATTCCAATACTTCCATTACAGATCCAACTCATTTGTTACATTGCCAATTGCATGTAAACATGTAGGCTAGAAATATAGAAGGTGCTAGGTAGCAATCAACGTCTAGAACTTAGAACCTTAAGAATGTTTTTGTTGAAGACATACATACCACAAACTTACCTTGAGTGCATGTACAATCACAAAAATGTCCATGTAGATCACTCGTTTCTGACTGTATAATTATGGTGTGTTTTATTCAATTTTTCACTTCGAAAGAGGATTGAAGATAAATTGGGATGGCTATAAATAAATTCACCTGTTGCACTTGCATGATGAAGGTATTTTGTTTTGTAGAAAATACGTTATCTGAAATTCTCCGTCAGGAAACATCATTTAAGCCAATCAATCAACATGTTAACACCAATAGTAGAAAGGCTGCCACCTCAATGGTTCTAACTAGCACAAGAGTCATGCATACTTTTTTCTCCCCCAAATCAAGTATTAAGTGGTATCTTGAACTGACTTCTTTACGTCTCACCAAATTTACCCCAAGGGAAAAAAATCATTTTTAACATAAATACAAAGAGCTTAGAATAGACATGGATGGCCCTAATACAGTTTTGTTCTGTTCGGGTGTTTGCAGTAGTGTCATTAGATTTACATTAGCCATGTTAAGTATGTTCTGCCACTTCACTTCATTATGTCAGTTTTATAACATGGACTCATCTACAGTTAGTCATCGATTTTGTGGAGCATAAATAATAGTGAAAATAATATTGGCCTGAGTTGAATTCATTTGAACTGGAGTTGAAAGCATTCCCTCCTCCTTTCTCAAAGAATAATTTGCAGATTGCGCAATGAATGTAACAACTAACAAACAGGAAAAGGGAAATCCATGCTCTTGTGGCACTGGCAGTGAGCATTATTAGCTTAGATAGATCCTGATTAATCACTACAACAATAAGATTAAAGGAAGATATACTACAGGATTATCACCAGCGGGAAGGCAAAGATAGCACACAAGAAACAATCGAAAAGTTTTTTCAAAAAAAGATGCTGACTGACATTGCTTGTCTTTATCGGTTTATCACATGATTACGTACTAGAAAACAGAAAGAAAAGTTAGCAAACAGGAAACTAGAGAAAGAAAGATGGATATGAATCGTACGAACCCGGCAAAGACGTTGCAAGAAACAACACCAAAGCTTCAGAAAAGAAAAGCAGCTACTACCAAAGCAGCACTAGTATAGTGTGGCAATGGTAATACCGAAGCAGGAAAAAAGCAAAAGAGACAGACATACTCGGAGACCAAGCAAAAAACAAAAAAAGCAAAAGCAAAAGAGAAGCAGAGATGGATGGATACGCAGGACAATGAACCGATGATACTACAGTAATCATGGATGGATTTCATGGCGGTGGATGATTAGAGGAGATGAGAGGACTACTGACTGGGGTCGGTGAGGGTGATGGTGGCGGTGCCGGCGAAGTCGCAGGCGCCGGGGGCGGCGCGGGCGCGCTGGAAGACGGAGTTGAAGGCGTAGGAGGCGTGGGCGGCGAGGGTGTTGGGGAGGTAGCAGAGGCCGCTGGCCTGGATCGGGGCGCAGTCGGCTCCCCCCGCGGGGCCGCACGCGTAGTCCAGCGCCGCCTGCACCGTCCTCTCCGCCGCCCCGCTCCTCGCGATGCACCACGCCGCGCCCGCCGGCCGCACCGCCGCCGCCAACAACCACGCCACCGCGCCCGCGACGGCGACCCACCGCCGCCACCACCACAGCGCCCGCCACAGCATGTGGAGCGGAGGGGGACAATGGTGGTGGTCAAAGAAAGCAAAGAAAGGTGGTGGGAGCGAGCGAGCTAGAGAGAGTGAGGGGAAAGGAAAGCAAGCGGGAGGAGGAGGAGAAGGGAATATTACGGGGGTCGGCAAGGAAGGGAAGGGAAGGGAATAGAGCGGGAAGAGGATCTCCCTTCTCCTTCGTCTTCTCTTTCCTCTCTTCGCCTGCCCCTTTTTATTTTTATTTTGCTTTTCTGCTATTTTTATTTTTTTTCTTTTCTTCTTAGAACTATGGGTTGCTGGTTGTTATTGGGAGTGGGCTGCTAATTTTTTTTCATGGGACTATTTATTTCATATTATAAGTTTGATTTTTTTAACATGCCACGTTAAAATCGTCGAGGGAATCAAATTGCACCGGTTTTAACAGTTTAGAGATAAGATATCTAGTTTTGCGGTTCAGAGTAATGGAGTCAAAGTGAACTTATTCATGATGGACCAAACGGGCTGAGTTTGCAGGTCCAATAACAATCCATCATGATTTGACGATGCAGGAGGACGGCCGGCCACCGCCACAATCTCGTGCTCTTGGCCATCATCTGCCATCGGTCTCCTTCCCCTCGCGCGAGCACGGGCATGGCGGCACCACCCCTCCTACCGCGCCGCCAATCGCAGGCGCCCATCCTAGTGCTAAGCAACGGCTAACGCGGGATTTTTGGAGCAGGCACTAGAACGGATACCCTCATCTTAATCGGGCGGTAAGTCCCATCTCAATCGGGCATGGCGTCCGTCACATGCTAGAAGTCACTGATGTGAAGAGCTATCTCAATCGGGCAAACGGCCGTCACGCATGATTCTATCTCAATCGGGCCATAAGTAAAGCCCGTCACCGATAGTTTTGACCCAGACGACCAGTCAAACTATAGCCCGTCACAGATGACCTATCTTAATCGGGCCACAACTAGCGCCCGTCACAGATGACCCTTATACAGATGACCCTTATCTGTGACGGGCATTAATCATCTGTGACGGGCATTACATTAACTTATGCTAGAGTAATGCCCATCACAGATGAGTATATTCCAAAAATAAATAAATTTCATTTTTTGGCTAGCCCTCACTCGTGTGCACCCACGCAGGAAGTTCAAATTTGAGTAATGCCCATCACAGATGAGTATATTCCAAAATTAAATAAATTTCATTTTTTGGCTAGCCCTCACTCGTGTGCACCCACGCTTTCAAATTTCCCGGTCGGTCACCCATCCCAAAATTGCTCCAGACCAAGCATACTTAACGTCAAAATTCTTTAGAGATTGGCTTCTGGAAAAGTAATTGTAACATGTTGGTATGAGTATTCTATTAATCCTATTATGCCCTAGGCCAGGATGTCAAATTGGGGTTACTAAATGATTTCAAATGGAAAAGTCACCAAAACCAAAGTTGTAGAACTCATCGAGGTGCAAAATTTTTATTTTGGTCATTTCTCCATCTGACTCTATTTAAACAATTTTAAATTTGAAATTCAAAGTTTAAAAAGTTCAAATAGAATTTTAGATCAGTGAACGACTTCAACTGAAAAAGTCATCAACAACAAAGTTGTATAACTCATCAAAATCTATAACTTTTATTTTGGTCATTTTTCTATATAACATTTTTTGAACCGTTTGAATTTGAATTTGAAAATATAACAACTTCAAACAATATTTTCAAATACTAAATGATATCAACTGAAAAAGTTATCAACAACAAAGTTGAATAACTCATCAAGATCTAAAACTTTTATTTTGGTCATTTCTTCATACGACAAAGTGATAGTAACATTGTTTATAAAATTGACATATCTCTTATCTGGTTTTATAAACTATAACACATATATGTAAAATTTGTGAATAATATTAATAACATTTCGTCAGATGAAGAAATAACAAAAATAAAAGTTTTAGATCTTGATGAGTTATTCAACTTTGTTGTTGATGACTTTTTCCATTGAAATCATTTAGTATTTGAAAATGTTGTTTGAAGTTGTCATATTTTTAAATTCAAATTCAAACTGTTCAAAAAAATGTTATATTGAAAAATGACCAAACTAAAAGTTGTAAATATTGATAAGTTATACAACTTTGTTGTTGACATTTTTTCCATTTGAAATCATTTACTACCCGTAAAATTATTTTGCTATAGTCAACTTACAAATATAAACATTTCATATGAAAAATGGAAAAATAGTCATCGGTGACGGGCTTTAGTTAATGCCCGATAGAGATTAAGTATATAGCCCGTCACTGATGAGTCATCTGTGACGGGCCTAGTTGTTATCTCAAACGGGCCTCAAGTTGGTGCACGTCACAGATGATGGTCATTTGTGACGGGCCACAACTTGAGGCCCGTTTGAGATATGGAATGTTATCTCAAATGGGCCCAAAGTTGTGGCCCGTCATAAATGATGGTCATCTGTGACGGGCCACAACTTTAGGCCCGTTTGAGATATGGAATGTTATCTCAATCGGGCCTAAAGTTGTGGCCCGTCACTGATAGGTATCATCCGTGACGGGCTTAAGTTTTATACCCATCTAACATGTCTGTGCGACCATATCTCAATCGGGCACTTTTCGGCCCGATTGAGATGACTTCCTTGTGACGGCCCGCTATTTCTAAGCATATTAGAGCCCGTCACAGATAGAAGGATCTGTACTAGTGTGGCAAGGACGAGCAGTCGAGTAGAATGGCCTTGTTCCAGCCTGCCCTGCGCTGGCGAGGTTGCAAACCTTTAATGTTATTACTACGGTCGTCGCCTTCATCTGAATTACGCAGAACCGCCGATGCATCGTCCCTTCTAACCGCCGCCTCGTCAAGTGCCTCCTAATCGACTGATTTAGTCTCGTTTGTCCAACAAATTTTACCTATTAAATGACATGCAATTTGTTTCCTAATTTACTTCTCCACCGCGGTGGTTTCCCCTCTCAGGCATGGGGGAGGTGGAGTTTTCGCCGGCGGTGGGGAGTGGCGGCGGCGAGGGATCCCAGCTAGACGCCGTCGCCGGATCTAGACGGTGCGTCGGTGGCGGTGTCGTGGGGCGGCGTGAAGCGGAGGTGGCCCGGCTGGCGGCGGCTGCTGCGGCGTCTGGCGACTTGCGAGGCGGCCGGATCGTCGCGCAAGTCTGCTCACGAGGTGGCGGTCATGCTCGGCCGTGCGGGCGCCGGAGCGTGGGCGGCGGATTGCCAGTGCCCGCGTGGCAGCGCGGCATCAGTCGGCTCCGGGTTGGCGAGTTTGGCGTCCGGCCACCCCCCCTGTCGCTGGCAACTGCGGAAGCCGTCCCTGCAACCACCCGTTTCTTCTTCCTTGCTTTCTTCCTCCTTTCTCTTTTCCTCTCTGTTCCTCCGGCCATCGCCGGCAGCTGCTGAGGCCCCTCATTTCCTTCCTCCCCCCACCCCACATCCCTTCCTCCCTTCCTCTCACCATCGCTTCTTCTTAGTTGCTCTTCTGCTCGCCCTGGTGTACCTTTCTCTGCGCTGGCGGTGAAGTTGGTGGTGGTTGCTGCAGTCGTAAGGATTGTCCCGCGATAGCCGGAGTTCCTTGCCGGAATCATGGAAGACACAGTGGTCTTTGTTGCCCCTGACTTCAGCTCTCAGTTCCTTTTCATGCCGGCCACGACTCCTTCACTCCTTGGTGCTCCTCTCTTCTTTTGGCCGTCTCCAGACCCGGTCGTGGAGCCTTTCGGTTATTGAGGAGAAGTGTTTGTCCGTGTTTGGGGTCCAGTGTGTCTGTAGTCAAGGCTTTTGGGTCTCGCCGATGCTTTAAGTGTCCTGTGTCTGTATGAACCTGTCGTAGTGCCGAGTTTTGAGTGGGGTGCTTGCCCTCTACAATGCTAGAGTTTCTGTGTTAAGACGGAGTCGGAGTTGCTGCATCGGGTCTAGCCGATGAGCTGGGCAACGATAACACTTAACACTTTGACTCTGGTTTCTTATAGGCTCTACACCTTTGAGGGAATCTTAAGCGAAAGCCTTGTCTGGTCTTCCAGGATCGGCGACATCGATGCCTGCGGGCGCCGTTTCCTTCTTGGAGGTGTTGCCTTGTGGACTCTCTCTCCCTTTGGGTGAAAACCCAGCCTAGTTCTTTGGGCGGGAGTCGACAGTGGCTTATGTCGTTGTTCACCTCCTTGGAGGCTTCGCCTTGAAGGTATTGCTCTCCCCTCGGTCACTACTGTGGTTTGTAGTTTTATCGCATGCTTTTCGTGTCTTTTGTGTAAGGTTTTTTGCCGGTTTCCTTTTAGTAAGCTGTACAGTTGTATGGTTTTTGACCTGATTTTCCTAATAAACAGGATCAACTCTCTTCTTCTAATATATCCGGTAGATCTCCTACCGTCTACTGTTTAAAAAAAACAAATTATATCGCTGGTCTTTGGATCTGAACTAGTAGACGACCCAGGACCATCTAAAGGTACAGTAAAAAAAAAGAAAAACTTTTTTTCATTATACTGTACTCCGTTTATCATCTGCGTGTAGATCGATAAATAAACAAGTACTCTGCAGTAAAATATAACTATGAACTCAGAGAGAGAGAGAGAGAGCGCACATACGAGCATACATGCATGCGGCCCGTCAGTGCATGAATTATTCATCATAGAGATGTGCCGGGAGCTTGGGCTCGGGAATGGCCTTGAGCTGGACCAACCGGGAGACGGATATCCCGAACTTCTCCTCCATGCTCAGCTCCTCCGCCGCCGCGCCGCCGGGGAGCCTCCACGCGAAGCCGTGCAGCAGATTCGCCAGCGTCAGCTGCACCATCTTCAACCCCAGTCCGAACCCCGGGCACATCCGCCGCCCCGACCCAAACGGCAGCAGCTCGAAGTCCTGCCCCTTCACGTCCACGCCGCCGCGCTCCCCGCCGGCGGCGAACCGCTCCGGCCGGAACTCCTCCGCGTCGTCCCCCCACACCGCCGGGTCGCGCCCGATGGCCCACACGTTGACGAGCACGCGGGTGCCCGCCGGGATGTCGTAGCTAGCGGCGGCGCCGGCGACGGAGACGGAGAAGGCGTCCTCGCGGGAGACGCGCGGGACGAGGAGCGGCACGACGGGGTGGAGCCGCATGCTCTCCTTGACGACGGCGTCGAGGTAGGGGAGGTTGGGGATGTCGCCCTCGGCGACGAGGCGGCGGCGGCCGACCACGCGGTCCAGCTCGTCGGTGGCCCTGGCGAGGACGGACGGATTCCTCAGGACCTCCGACATGGCCCACTCCACCGACACCGATGTTGTGTCCGTGCTGCCCGTGATCAGCTCCTGCAGCCGCCACGCATCATTAATTTGGATATCACAACAATCCATGTACTATTATTTACAAGATGACAAATACTATCGTGCAATCCACATTAATTAACATATAAATTCATGATTTTATTCTGCTTCAAAAAGAACGGAGTAGCTGAGATTCCTGCATGTGACAAGAGAAACAAAAACCACTTACACGCGCCAAGACTCGAATCCGTGATCTTTTAGTCGTAGGCACCCATCACTATCAGCGAGCTAACTTGTTTTTTATAGTTACATATAATTTACATCTAAATTACATTTATGATTATATATTAGTTATAATATAATTACACTATAAATATATTATAGTTACATTTGATGGTTAGACCGTCAAAAAAAGAATATATGAGTTATAAATTGGTTTTTTACTGTGATTTTCAAAATTTTTTTCTACGAGCTGTCCAAAACATTTTTGTAAATTTCTTGCTACAAACACGCGGAGTATTCAATAGTTTTGTTAATGGTCGATGTAAGTATGTTCAGATGCTTACAATGCTTTTACTAGCGCTTTTATTAGAACATTTGGAGTTTTAAATCCTATCTTACTATAAAGTTATCCCCCACTAACTCCTTAAACTTAACATGCAAAGATGCTACATCATCATTCACTAAACAAGATGTCACATCATCATCCACTAATTAACAAGATGCCACATCATCATCCACTAACAATCATCACATTTAAACATCATGTAAACTTGCTATATCTTTATAGTTTTTATAATTTAAGAGCTTTTCAAATACAAACATATTAAATTATCATCCAGCATAATTCACATAATGTTTCAATGTATATCTTTATTATGTTTAATGATATCCTATATACTTATATAGTTCATTCTCACTTAGTTAGTGCTTAAATGATTAATCTATGGTACAAATTATCTTTCTCTTTTTTTTTCTAATTAAGTCAAATCACATCAATTATTTTTAACCTTTAGATGATTAATCTACGTCCAAACTATCTCTCTATTTTTCTTCTTCCATAAAGTCATACAACCTTACTTTTTACGTTTGAATCACCATTCTACATACTATTTAAATTTAAATTATTATAAACCACATTAATTTACTTAATCTGATGTTATCTAGCTATCTTACAAGTTATTTTTTTATTGTTATCATAGTAAATTCTCGCAGCAATGTGCGGGGTTTCACCTATTTTTTTTTCAAGATGCTTACAAAGCTTTTACTAGCACATACTCCCATCTTAATCAACCATAACCTCTCCTAATTTAATTTCTCCGTCATCTTCCTATCTCAACCAACCACGCAACCATTTCTAACCACAATCTTAATATCTTTTTTTAAAAAAAAACTGCATATGCTTTATTCTCTTGGATGAATTGAAACAGTATGTTGTAGCATAGACTTCCTCTGTTTTTGATATATAAAAGTATATATAAAACGTCAAGTATATTTAATAATGAAACAAGTAGTTATACCAGAATGAATGCTTTGACGCCATCCCGCTGGATGGGAACCTTGAGGCTGGGATCGTCGGCGAACTGCAGCAGCAGGTCGACCATGTCCCTGGCGGCGAACCCGTCGCCCTCTCGCCGCCGCCGCTCGACGTGCTCGTCCAGGATGTGCTCCAGGAACCGGTCGAACATGCCGCCCAGCCTCTTCATCCTCCCGATGTACCCCTGCGGGTCCAGCCACCCCAGCCACGGGACCATGTCGCCGATGTTGAACACGCCGTTGAGGAAGAAGATCTCCTCGATCATCCACCTGAACCAACCAACGTTTTGAATAACGGGCTAAGATATTTAGCAGTTAGTCTTCTCAAATAGTTTATAGCAGCAGCAATACCGACCAGGCTAAATGGAGCTATATATAGCGGCTAAGTTATAAATGAGAGCAAATTAATAGCTAGAGCCCTTCTCAAACTTATTATAGCCGAAGATAACGGCAGCTATAGCTGGAGATTTAAAACCCTAACCTGAACTCCTCCGCCGTCGTCGGCGACGAACCCTCCCCCTCCTCGACGATGTACTTCTTCCCGAACACCATGCGCGAGATGACGTTGAGCGTCACCATGAGCATGTGCTCCTTGAGCACCACGGCGGTGCCGGCGCCCGCGCGGCGGCTCAGGCCGCGCAGCATGGCGCGCACCTCCTCGGCACGGACGTGCTCCGTCGACGCCAGCCTCCGCGCGCTGAGGAGCTCCGTGACCCACAGCCGGCGCGCCTGGCGCCAGTACTCGCCGTAGTGCGACCACAGCACGCCGGCGTAGTTGTACACGGTGTACCTGCCGGCGGCCGTCCTCGGCCGGTCCAGGAACGCCAGGTCGTTGGCCCTCAGGAAGTACCTGGCCATGTCCACCGACGAGCCCACGACGACGGGGAAGGAGCCGAACCGGAGGGACATGAGCGGGCCGTACCGCCGGGAGAGGTCGCGGATGGAGCGGTACGGGAGGGCGCCGATCAGGTTCAGGTTGCCGATCACCGGCCATGGGCGAGGCCCCGGCGGGATGTTGTACTTGCGCCGCGCTCCCTGTCGCCGCCGGAGGAAGGCGGCGACGAAGAGCAAGGTGGCCAGCACGAGCACTAGGAAGGACGAGGACGACGACCATGGCGACGGTACTAGTTCCTGTACCTCCATTGGAACTTGAGCGATATGGTGTGTGTGTGTGTGGCTGTGTGCTCAAGATTGGAGATGTGTGTCCGAGTGTGTGTGTGAAGCCAAAAAGAGTGTGTATAACATATCTACCCACCCCTAATTTTTTTAATAGATTACGCTGTTGTTCTTTGGACATATATTTAAATGTTTTATTTCATTTAAATATGAAAAAGTGTTACTCTAATGTTTTACCAAGTCCAAACAAAATAAATTATATTACCTCCATCTAAAATGTAAGATATTGGTGTATATTTAAGCCGACCAGTGCTCCTCCGTTTTATATTATAAGGGTTATTAGTATTTCCTAAATCAAACTTATGTAATTCTAATCAAGTTTGTATGAAAACGTAACAACATTTTTAATATAAAACAAATACAATATAAAATATTCTCAAAATTATATTTAGTGATACTATTTTGGTGTTACAGATATTGCTATATTTCTATATAAATATATTAAACTTAAAAAATAGACTTAAAAAAATAAAGATATCTTATAATATGAAATGGAGTGGAGAAAGTATTACAAACCAGAGAGTACGTAGTACCGGTCGGTCCGGTGTCCAATCCACTACGAAAGATGAAAAAAATGGAAGTGTCGATCCACTGCCACAAACTATTTTGGGAAGGATGGGGGCAATGTGGCTATGGTTCTACTCCCTCCGTTTCACAATGTAAGTCATTATAGTATTTTCCACATTCATATTAATGCTAATGAATCTTTAATGAATCTAGACAAATTCGTTAGCATCAATATAAATGTGGAAAATGCTAGAATGACTTACATTGTGAAACGGATGAAGTAACAAAGAGGCGGTCAAATAGCGAGATATATGAGCCAAATTGTTTTGATAGCAACATTTTTGGATTTTATGATAATGATTACCCCATCTATTAGCTTAATTATCGAAGTAACGAATGGACCTGCTCGTTAGAGCACTGGCTGTGGCCGTGCTGCAATAGTGCAGCGCTGTAGCCACAGTAGCCAGCCATAGAAAATGATGCTGCGGTTGATGCCGCAAATACGTTTATATATATTTTGTCAAAAAAGAAAACGTTTATATTTGTTTGGTAAACTGCTGGTTGCAAGTTAATTAACGTATTTATAACGCAACTGCAGGTTGCAGCGTAGCCATACGGAGCAATATCAAAGACCCCCAATCCTTTACTCCACTAGAGAGAGAGGTCACCATTTAATAGTAACAGATCGATAAGGCTAAATAAAGTTCGTCTAGAGACTGAATAGTTCTAGATGATGAGATATTCAATCTATTGTAATTTCAGCTCATAAATTTACAAGGATCAGGATGGGAAAGTCTTCCTAGTCAGAAACACGAGATTGAATAGCTCTAGATGAACAGATACGCAAACTGTTGTAATCTCAGCTCATAAATTTACAAGGACCGGGATGGTAAAGCCTTCCTAGTCAAAAACACTCATTGAGACCTTGTTCGGTATATGGGGAGGATTTTTCCAGGGAAAACACTACTAGGGAGACCTTGTTTGATAAGTATGTGGGGAGGATTTTTTTCCTAGGGAAAACGTACACCACTTGGGTGGATCCCCTCCCAACACTCAATCCCCTCGTCAATCCCCTCCACCATGGGATCTTTGTGTATTGGTGTGTTTCAATAATAGTGAGCCGTGAGATATCACTTCAGTTTTATAATTTCATTAAAAAAAATTCAAATATCACGTAGAAATTTCGAAATACTGCACAACAAAAATCTGAATTTTCAGGAAAATGCATAAAAATACATAAAAAAGCCTAGAAAACTATGAAAATTTTGGAAAATTAAAAATGATACTGAAGACCAGCTACAAAATCCATGTCATAATTGTTACAGTATTGGAAAAAGAACAGGCAACCAACATTAGAAGCCAATGCACATTGAGTTTAGAACACGCACATGTCTCTCACAATAACAAGTATTAAATTGAACAAGATAAAACTATGTTAACTAAAGCTAAATCATTAATATTAATTTGAGCTTGGTTTCCTTAAGAGTTCTACTTCCTCCATTCCAAATTGATCTACATATAGTTTTTTTAGGTTATTGCTAAATGATCTATATATTTGTGTTCATTCATTAAGTATATTCGTTATTTGTGCATTGGAGTAAATGGACATTGATGCATGCATCCATGCACACAAGTATTTATAACCCACATGCAATATCTTGATTTGCTATTAGCTAGGAAATAGTGGGGATGGTGCATGCATAGAGTTTGTTGCTAGAGTAAATATAGTATGAGAGAGTTATTAGCTTTTCTTGGTTTTGGTGTACCTATAAAATATATAGAGATCAATTTGGAATTGAGGGAGTATATAGTAACAACACTTTCCCAGGTATAACACAAGACGTTTCCTTGCATCCTTGGTGCAGCAAACAAAAGGCCCGTAGACATCACATATCAGAAAACTGCACACCAAAAGAATATGGCAAAGTCAATGTATTCATTTGTGTCAAAAGCATGACAGGCACCTGAAAATGCACTTCTAAAAATTCCAGGCATCATGGCAGTTAACTCTTCATTAATAATCAGCTAACTGCATGCATGTTGATAGTCACAAAAAGGAATATTTCATCTAATCTTCAGCCCATGACCAGCCCCATCTAATCTACACTACACTGGCCAAGGTCACCTGTGACGGGCCCAAACCCTCATCTTTGGCGGCTTCGCGCATGGTCAGTGATCAGTGGTCACTGATGAGTCCAGTCACCTTTGACGGGTGGCCGACCGTCACAGGTGACACCCACCTTTGACGGGTGGCCGGCCGTCACAGGTGACACCCACCTCTGACGGGCAAGTTACTAGAAGGCTGTCAGAGGTGTTGGTCTCCGCTAGCCTAGGGCGAGTTGGGACCCGTCACAGGTGACTCATCTCTGACGGCCCTTTAAATAAAGGCCGTCAGAGGTGATGGTCTCCGTAGATAGAAGCTGTGACAAGTGATCTACCTGTGACGGCCTCAAAAGTAAAGGCCCATCACAGGTAGGTCACCTCTGACAGGCCTTTATTTGCTAGTCCGTCACAGGTGAGTTTACCTTTGACGGATTTTTGTTCCAACCCGTCACTGATGAGTTAATTCCAGAAAAAAAATAAATGCTCAATATTGGCTAGCCTCAGGATTTGCTAGCCATGCCCTCTGAAACACAGATACATCACAGATATATTCGAGTCACCCCTCCAATATAACATCACAGATCCATCTCAAATATCACAGATCCCCAACAACACAGATCCATATCAAAAATTGACATCATTCACATATGCAGTTCAAATGCCACAATTTTGCACAGCAAATTCACACCTCTTGAAAGCCACAATTTCGGTCATTGCTCATAGAACCGCATATATACTTACCAAATGGATTAAAGTCATAATGTCCTCGACCTCCACGACCTGTCAATAAGAAAAAAAAAGGAGAAAATAAATGAATAGTATAACGTAAATCGTAGTTGATTAAATTTGATGACAATTTAGTAAACTACCATAAATATTGCACATATGAAAGTAAATTACATTGCACTCGATAAAAACATATTTTTTTACATCACAAGAAATTATAAAAACATCTTTTTTACGTCACAATAAATTATCTAGCCAAATTCATGAGTCTATTTGACGTGAAAACGTCCTTTCTTGTTCATTATTTCTGCAAGAATGAAGGCGCACACTTCGCCTCTGATAGCGGGGGGGGGGGGTTGATGGGTGAGATCTTGAAGCCAGTTCTACCTTTCTGTTTAATAAATAAGAGGTTAGCACGTTTTGAATAGCAATGTTGGTATTGAAATGAGCTTATTCGCCATTAGCAACAACCTCAGGGTCGAAATCTTTCACCTCTCTTAGAAGTGTTGACATGTTGTGGCACACGTGGAAACCACATTGGTCTTCGATCTGTTGTGCGCATGCGAACTTGGTGTCATGATAAAGTTCGTCCTTGCCCTCCTTGTGCCTACCACCCTTTTCCACATATGGGCCCCAAGCCATATTTAAGGCCTTGGTGATTTCAGTGAAATCATAATCTTTGGACTTATTGGAGTTAAGGTAGGTAACCCTACTCCACTTAGGTACGATGACTAGGAGAATCCAATGTCGCCTGCGCAGTGGTTATGTAGCGTTAGTACTAAGAACCTTAACTTCAAAAACAATATACACGAAGGGTATTGTCCTCTTACTCTTGGTTGTGTGCGCACATGATGTACTCCTTGTCTTGATGGGCCCATAAACACCGGTTGACATAGTCAACCACCTCAGTGAAGCTCTGTCGTAAATTAACCTCGTTCACCATGGATGGATCAAGGAACCCAACCTGATTACCAAGGCGACGACTCTCGATCCAACACAACCTTAAAACATTTACATATTAGAACTAATTTAATTAGGAGATATAGTCCAATCATATCACAAGTATAGAAGGTATGCACTTACAAGGAGTAGCATTTTAGAAGACCAGTGTCCAACTTCCGGATCCTAAAAAGGTCGAAGAGGTCATCAAAGCCTATAGTTATATAGGCAGGCGATGATAGGAACGGTTGGTGGTCGTGATGTCCAACTATGGATGACCCTCATTTTTTGCTTGGCATTGCTTAGCTTCATGTATTGCTTATGTAGCTCTCGGCAAGCAATACCCATCACGGCTAACACATTGTCCTCCACCAATAGCATGCCTAGCTCAAATTGGGCCGGCGCCCTCACGACCTTCCCCGCTTTGCTCACCGGCATCGACGTCACAGCCTTGCCCCTTTTTGGCTCCGGTGCCAACTTCCCGACCTTCCCCTTGCCGCGTTCACGCTTCTGGCCCTTGATAAGTGGCGGGGAGCTATCAGCCTTTCTTGTGGTCTTTATTAGAGCCAAGCTTTGAGCTATATCTGCCAAGTCCATATTAGCTCCATCAGGAGAATGAGGTACTGACAATGCCGGTCCACGGGGAGCCTCAATTGATAGCTTAGACTTGGGAGGTGTAAGCTCCGTCGGTCGACTTGGACGAGGAGTCATCTTCACAACTATGTCTTCTTTGGGCCATTGTATGAACGTCTTGCGCGCATCGCCCAAAGTCAT